TCTGGTGGCATCTCTTACTGCCCCAAGTATTTCTACACAACTCCCAGTAGAAACCTGCTGTATTCTGCCATACACAGGCGAGCAGAGCAAATGCTGCAGCAGAGTTATTAAAGGAGTAATACAAAAGGAAGAGAGAAAAGGTTTCACCATCCCTCGCACAGGATTCCCACACTGCTGCAATGTGATGCCTTAATATTTCCAGCCTCCTGCAGCTGTATTTCCTCTGTGTGTATACAGCCCCATGCGTCACATAAGCTAAATGATTATTTTTTTTAATGCTAGCATGAAAAACCCTATCAGTCAGTAGGATTAACATACTGCCTGTCTAATACACTGCAGAGCTGTTTAGGCCATTAGCTGCCAGGAGGTCTTCCCAGACAGAAAGGGAGAAAAGGAATTCAAATGTCTGTTCATAAACGGTAACTCGTAGCAAACAGAAAAAAACAAGTTAAGGAGAATAAATCTGTAAGCACCTCAGACACAAATACAGAATAATACTTGGTAGAAAGAGACCTGTGTGGCTGGGCTGAAAATCAGGAAGAAATTGTACCACAAATGGAAATAAGTTGGCATTTCTGAATACACGTATAAACAAATGGATCAAACACAGAGTGATAGAGGCTGCAAAGCTAAGGCACAAAATGAATTACAGCTAGCAGGGGAACACAAAAGGCAATAAGAAAAGCTGTTAGAAGTGCTGTCAATATTGGAGAAAGAGGAAGGAAAATGTAAGGCTGTTATTTAAACCAGAAAATGAGCAAACAAAAGCTCATCCAGAAAAGCCAGAAAAGTTGTGTCCTTTTTGTTTGTTATCACAAAAAAAATTTAATTGCAACAAGATATGCAGCAGCATTAAAATGAACCATTAGGAATATGGGTGAAATGAGACAAAAACTGCTTAAATAGTAGTTGGACACCTCAAATGTGCTCAGATCATTGGATCCTGATGAAAATCATCTTCAAGTTCTGAATATCCTTGTGAAGGGCAGAAGCAGGACAAGCACTACCACTGCCTTTAAAAAGGCAGGTTAGGACAAGTCAGGTGTGTTCCTCCAAAGCCTGGGAGATACTTGATCGGATAATCCCTTGTAAGCACCAAAAGGTGAATAAGGATTACAAAACAGCCATTTCCAATTGGAAAAAATGCTCTCAAACAAGACTGTTTTATTCTTTGGTGACAGGGTATGTGGTGTAACAGTTAGAGCAGTGTGTGTGATATATACCAATATATTGTCTCCAATGTCTCACAAGGAATTAGGGCCCAGAAGAAACGCCCATATAGTGGACAACTGGAAAATCCCTCTCAGAGTAGCTATTGATTATTTTCCATCAGATTAGGGAGGCATGAAATATGAGCAAAGAGAACATCAGCACAGCCAGTGTGCTGCTCCCATTTGTGTCTGAAACTAGGATAGAGAAGCCTGGGGGAGAACAGGGTGTGAATTCAAAGTGATGTTGCTAAATGGGAGAAACTGTTTGTGGCTCTGGAATGAAAAAGATGAAATTCAGAGAAGAAGACTACCAAATGCTACCCCTGTCCAGTGACAGAAAAAACAGCCAGAGATGAAATATTCTCCATTTTCACAGAGGATAAGATGAGAGAAATAACTGATTTTATTTTCAGTAAAGAAGATTTGGGGCTCCTTTTGCTAATTTCCCTTTCAGCAAGGACAGGTGAGCACTGGATCAGAGATGGTGTGGCTGGGGCTGCAGCCATCAGGCAATCCACGATGTCTGTTACGTAAGAATGTATTAGGGGCTGGATAAATATCAGGTCCTGTCCCAGAGCAGGCAGATGGGTGATGTGTCCTCCTGAATTTCTGTGAAAATCTTGTGCCAAACAACTTCACCTGGTGAGCATGAAAGCAAGGACTGCTTTCTGCAAAATTTCCTCCTTTCTGAGTTATCCTTTGTGCAGGTGGGGAGTCTGCAGGATGATTCATGCCTAAATGTAATATTCAGCTACCAGATGCCTTACATAGCCAGAAGTTTCCATGAATACATTTTGCTATGACTTTCAGTTAATAATTTAATTTTTTTTTCTGGTTCCCAAATCCTCAGGAAGACAATCTGCATTTTCCTGTTGCTTTGACAATCCTCACGTTCTCGCTGTTTTCTGCTGCAGGACTGTGCACCTTAATCTATTTATACTCAACTAATCTCTTCATTTTTACCTGCATTTACCTTGTGATAGAATCCCTTCCTGATTTTCAGCTCAGCCACACTTTTCTCTTAATAATGAGTCTTATTTTTAATTCATATACCTTGCCCATACTTTTATAGCCTTTTTACCACATATGTATTTCTCTTCTCTCTCTCTACTTCTGAGATAAGGTTTTAAGAAACTCGATGAATGTGTGCCAGCAACACATTGGGCTTAATGATCAGACCCTGAAAGGACATGATAACCTCTCCAGGTCTCTTCTGGCTGATTTTCTCCAATTCTTTGATCACAAGAAAGAGCAGGGCTTAACTGATTTAGACAGATCAAGACTGGTTTCCATTGCCTCCAGACTTCTCCCAAACTTCAAAGCAATTTAAGAAAATGATGTATCAAATCATTTGAACAACCAGCAAAATATGCCAGAAGCCTTCAAACTCACATCTCTCCTCTATTCACCAGCCTTTATAGACTCAAAATTGTAAAGGTATTTAGATTAAAACCACTAACAATATCAAGTACCTAATCTGTATTTAAGAGCCTCTCATCTGGTCACTAGTCAACCTGTAACAATCAGTGAAACGTCTCATCCCTACTCATGCCTTTTTGCCTCCAGTTTTTCCTACAATTAGCAAGAAGAAATCTTTAAAACATTTCTCACCAGTTTGGGCTTCCTTTGCAGCCTGCAGTGTGCCATCCCCCTCTGCCATGCCTGCTGCTTCCTGCACATGGGACTACCCCAGCTCTGTCGTGCCTGAAGATGAACCTCGTTGAGCAATCCTGGCTTGCTCTCACCCTCTTGTTAATGTTTCACTTCCCATCAGCAGTCCTTTGGCCACCAATAAAATAGTTAAACTTTCATTTATTTTTGATGTGAATTCGCCTCTGCTCAGCTCCCAGATGTCATAGGGAATCTGCCTTTCTTGAAAACAGCCTCTGAGGCTGCATGGCACCTTTCATGGATGTTCACGATCAATCACTTCGCACTGCAGCTACACTATCTTTCAATAAAATTACTGCTTCTGGATGAGGACAGGGACTGGCTCTCTGACTAGACAGGATCTACAGCTGGCCATAAATCCAAATTTTTGACACTCTACACCAGCTACAGAGCTGGCC